TTTCTAAATTTAGAAAGCACAAATCCACACATCATTTAAAGAAATGAGTAAAAACCCTAAAGCGCAAAGAAGAAATTTAGGTCTGCAATTTGCGCATTTGCACTTTAGGGGACTAGAGATGGGACAAATGGCTCTTTGAAGGGATCGAGATCTTGGGGAGCCGTTTGTTTTATAGAGCCGTTGGATTTTGAACGTAATACGTCATCACGTAGCCGTACGTAACAACGTATTCCCATTTGTTTGTCAAGCGGAAACCCCGSTCCCCCTTTCCTCTCACCGTGAGCTTCTGTACTCCTTAACTCCGCCTGTTTTCCGTGAAAAAGCAAAGCGGGAGCGATTTAAATATGAAAAAACAAGATTATATGAGGAATAAAAGAAATAAATCTACAAATGGCTCATTACTGCCCTCGATTTGGCTCCTATCGTTCATTGTAAAGAGCCGTTCAAAAGATTCGGATTGTTTGCCAACGTCACATCTCTATAGGGGACTGGTGCCCACCACTGCATGCARCAYTAGTGGCCCTCGAGGACCAGGACTGGCCCCGCCTGAGTYAGGTGGTCATATTTCACGTGTACTCACAGCTGATGGTGATTCCCAGCTCCACGCCTGGCTTCTTTGGGAGCTTCACGTGGAACGTCCCTGAACTGGGGATGACTGACTCTGAGGGTTCAGAAATAAAACTGATGATGATGAAGAGGAGGAGGAAGGAAGCTCCTTTAATAAAGTCTGTTTTTTTCCACCACAGTTAATTAACAGTTAATTAACCAGACAAACTCACCCGCCACGTCGAACTCGATCTCCAGCGTGAGCTGGGCGGTGATGGACGAGTCTCTGAGCAGCTGGTTGGTTTCCTCCAGAGTGGAGTCTTCGGTCGGGACGCCATTGATCGACAGGATCCTGTCGCCGATCTGCAGGATACCACACCTACACACAAACACACATGGCGGAGCTCAGTAACTGAATCTGACGTGGAAAATAAAACATTTGTTTTTCTGCTCACCTCTCAGCGGGGCTGTCGGGGTCGATGTAGGCGATGAGCGGCGGCGATGACAGCGTCTCCGTGGCGAAGACTCCGCCCTGCAGCTGCAGGCCGAACCCCATGATGCCGTCGCCCAGCAGCGTCACCTCCGTGGTTTCCGTGTGGACCACCTGACCGGCGAGCCCCACGGTGCTGGACGCCAGAGACACTGACGGCGAGCGAGATTCAGTTACAGCGTCTGTTCGCTCACGCCGAACTGATATAAAGTTTGGTTTTTTTGACTCACAGGAGCTCTTGAAGTCCTTCTTCTTGTTCTTCCTCCTCATCATGGTGCTGTGGGGACTCGTGGGATACATGTTTCTGGGCATGGTGCTCATGTTGAGAGACGAGAGACTATAGGCCGACATGGAACCAGGAGAGAACGAGTGGCTGAGGGCTGCAGAGAGAGAGAGATGATGATGAGTGGAGGTCTCTCGCCCCAAAATCAAACCAAATAAAAACTAAAAGCGGACATACGAGGGTTGTTTGTATGGCGGTTGTGCGATCTGGCACCTGATTGGTCGGGGTGGTAGGTGTTGTAGTGGTAGGGAGGGAGGATGGGGGTGGAGCCTCCGGTTTCCCAGGGGAGGGGGCGGGGACTACGCTGCACCTTAACTGGATGCACACACACACACACACACACACACACACACACACACAC